CATCCTCAACCCAGGCTCCACTGAGTTTTGGATATTGCATGTGGAGCTAGAAAACCTGGCTGTCCAGTCCACTGGCCTGGCATTTGTTTTCTGCTCAGACTCACCGAGCCCATCCCAGCCAGCACAAATTGATCATGTTCTTGTGGTCCTTTCCAGGGGCCTTGCCCGGGGTCCAGCCCACCATTTTCTCCCCTTCTCCCTATGGAAGGTGTGACAGTACCTAGGGTCTTCCTAAGGTCCTCACAAGGGCACGAAGAGGTGCTGGGCTAGGAAGAGACCAGATGGCCTAACTGGACGAGGGCCTAGCCCCATGTTCCTTGTCGTCCAAATGAGATGAATGTCAAGTGAGGTCCCAGGTGACACAGTAAATTGGCGGCTTTGAAGACCTAGAACCCATTTCTTTTGCTGACATGAACTTCCCCTCAGTCAAAACCCAGGGGATCAGCAGACTCATTGCTCAGCAGCTTAGAAACTTCCTGGCTGGGGACCAGCTGCTCACAGGCCCTGGTCGGAAGCAGCAATCGGCTGGGCTGGCCAGACAGGAAAGGAAGAGAGAGTGTGCCATCCACCGCCATCACTCCTAGAGAGGTGGCAGCGCCACCACACAGTGCGAGTCCTTGGCCCCAGGGCTCTGACTCAGGCAGGGAATGGGGTTCGCTGTGACTCACCCCACCTGCCTGTCTCCCTCGTCAGAAGAAACTCCCAGAAGCTTTCCGGGACCCAGGTCAAGGGCCTGGTCCATCCTGGGGAGGGGGCAAGCAGAGCCCCTGGAAAGTAGAGTTGACATAGTTGCAGGAAACTTTCTTGGGGAGAAGGGCAGCGGCTTTTCACCTGGGCAGCAGCAGCCCAGGCTGTGCTTGGAGAATTGCAGTCTCCATTTCCAGCCTAGCCAGTCCCGCTGCTGGCTGGCTTGGGGTTTGGTCCTATTTGCTGACGCAGGGAAGCGGATAGGACTGGGCTGGCCAGTGGTGTTTGAGGATGGACAATAATGGCTGTGATGATGAAAACGATACTGTCCTGTTTATTCCAGAATTGCCAGGGTGTTTCACGTTCGCAAGGATGTACAATTATATCCCCATTTTAGAGATGAGGAAATGAGGTATTAAAGTGGGTGGAATGAAGCTGGGTGCCAGTGGTTCAGGCCTGTAATCCTAGTTACTCAGGAAGGAGGCTGAGATCTGAGGGCCAAGGTTCAAAGTCAGCCTAGGCAGGAAAGTCTGTGAGACTCTATCTCCAATTAACCACCAGAAAAACGGGAGTAGAGCTGTGGAGCAAAGTGGTAGAGCTCTAGCCTTAAGCAAAAGAGCTTAGGGAGGGGCTGGGAAGGTGGCTTAGTGGTAGAGTGCTTGCCTAGCATGCATGAATCCCTGAGTTTGAGTCCTCAGTACCACATAAACAGAAAAAGCTGGAAGGGGCACTGTGGCTCATGTGGTAGAGTGCTAGCCTTAAGCAAAAGCAGCTCAGGGACGGCGCCCAGGACCTGAGTTCAAGACCCCAAGACTGGCCAAAAAAAAAAAAAAAAAGCTCAGGGACAGCGCCCAGGCCCTGACTTCAAGCCCTACGACCATGACAATTAATAGTTTGCTCAAGGTGCCCCAGCTAGGGAGTAGCAGGAATGGGATTGGAATCTAGCTAGGTCCTTGGCCCCTTGTGTTTGGGATGATAAACAGGAAGGAGTAAGTAGTTGAGGGGCCATCACCCATACCTGGTACCCTCAGCTGTAGCTTGTGCAAAAGTCTTCTGATGGGCTTTCCTGGGGAGGGACATGGCCTTCTTTTTCTGTTTGTGGTCCTACCTCCTCCAGCAAGCCTTCCAGGATCTGTGGAATCCCAGGTCCCTTGCATAAACCAGTCTTGAACCTGCTTTCTTTCATGTAGTCCCAGGGCAGAGCAGATCCAACTGATTTTGTAAATTGCACAGATAAGGCTTTTATTGTTGTTGTCTGTAGGGCTTGAACTCAGGTCCTGGGTGCTGTCCCTGGGCTCTTTTACTCAAGGCTAGTGCTCTACCACTTTAAGCTATAGCTCCACTTCCGGTTTTCTAGTGGTTAATTGGAGACTTCCTGCCTAGCCCGGCTTTGTACTGTGATCCTCAGATCTCAACCTCCTGAGTAGCTGGGACTATAGGCATGAGCCACCAGTGCCCGCCCAGCTGAGACTTTTTTTTTTTTTTTTTTTTGAGGATGAGGCTTTTATGGGCAAGCTCTGAGTCTTCTAGAATATTCCTTCTTCCCCTGTTGGAGGGCAGGGGCCCCAGGCAACCTTTTACTGACCCAAGTCTTTTACCTTGCTTTGGTGAATAGAGGTAGGAATGTATAACAGGGATCTCTTCTGCATGTCTGCCTTGAGGACTGAGGGGCTTCTTCAAATCTGTAATGTGGGTACCTTGAGGCAGACTGATCCAGAAGGTAAGTTTTAGCACCTGAGCTGGCATCGTCCAGGCCCTTCAGGTCTAGGCGTGGAGCACTGGCCGAGTCAGGAGCTGTGTTCATAGTAATGTAAGTAGGAGTGAATGGGCTGAGGCTGTGCTATTTGCACCCCAGGCCCCTGGCTCCATGGAGAGTTCTAGTTTCTAGGACAGCTTACATGCTTGGGTGGGGAAGAATGTTTGCAAAGTGAGGGGCCTGAAGACACCCCACACTTCTTTTTTTTTTTTTGCGGGTCGTGGGCCTGAACTCTGGGCCTGGGCGCTGTCCCTCAGCTCTTCAGCTCAAGGCTAGCGCTCTACCACTTGAGCCACAGTGCCACTTCCGGCTTTTTCTGTTTATGTGGTGCTGAGGAATCAAACCCAGGGCCTCATGAATGCAAGGCGAGCACTCTACCACTGAGCCACCTTCCCAGCCCCATGACACCCCACACTTCTGATACCTTCTCAACTCAACCTGGAGGTGTCAAGGTGCACCCTCTACCCTATTTTTCTTCTAGTGTCATTACTGCGGCTTGAATTCAGGGTCTAGGCACTTTTCAGCTTTTTTTTTTCTTTGTTGGTCATGGGGCTTGAACTCTGGGCCTGGGCGCTGTCCCTCAGCTCTTCAGCTCAAGGCAAGCACTCTACCACTTGAGCTACAGCGCCACTTCTGGTTTTCTGGTGGTTTATTGGAGATAGGAGTATCATGGTCTCTCCTGCCCGGGCTGGCTTTGAACCGTGATCCTTAGATCTCAGCCTCCTGAGTAGCTAGGATTACAGGCGTGAGCCACCAGCGCCCAGCCTTTTCAGCTTTTTCTACTTGAAGACAGAACTTTTTGTTGTTGTTGTTGGTCGTGGGGCTTGAACTCTGGGCTTGGGTGCTCTCCCTGTGCTCTTCAGCTCAAGGTGAGCGCTCTACCGCTTGAGCCACAGCGCCACTTCCGGTTTTCTAGTGTTTTATTGGAGATAAGAGTCTCATGAACTTTCCTGCTCAGGCAGGCTTTTAACTGTGATCCTCAGATCTCAGCCTCCTGAATAGCTAGGATTACAGGTGTGAGCCATCGGCGCCCGGCAAGGATAGAACTCTTGAACTACACCCCCACATCTGGCTTTCTGGTAGTTAATTGGAGATAAGAGTCTCATGGACTTTGGAGCCTGGATTGGCTTTGAATTACCATCCTCAGACCTCAGCCTCCTGAGTAGCTAGGGTTACAAGCATGAGCCACTGGCTCCTGGCTATGACTTTTTTTTTTTTTGGTCTGTTGTGGGCTTGAACTCAGGGCCTGGACACTGTCCCTTAGCTCTTCAGCGAGTGCTCTACCATTTGAGCTACAGCACCACTTCCAGTTTTCTGGTGGTTAATTGAAGATGAATCTCACTGACTTTCCTGCTCGAGCTGGCTTTGAACCACAATCCTCAGATCTCAGCCTCCTGGACAACTAGGATTACAGGTGTGAGCCATTAGCGCCCAGCCTGGCTGACTCATCTCCAATTAACCACCAAACAGCTGTGGAGCTATGGCTCAAGTGGTAGAGCACCAGACTTGGGCAAAGCTCCAACACACACACACACACACACACACACACCAGACACACACCAGACACACACACACACACACACACACACACACACACACACACCAGATTTCCAGCTTTAGCACTTCCTGGATAATCTAACTTGAGCCTATTCTCTTATGACCCCTTCATGACTAGGTTTCTGTGAAATTGGAGTCAACAAGAATACTCTTGCCAGTCCTTGGGTAGCATTAATGGCACTGGCTCAGGGACAGAAACATGGCTCTGGGAGGGGCGGTGGGTTGCTGAGATCTTAAGGAAATCAGCTAATGACAGCAAAATGGATGGCTTTTAGTCCTGGCTCAGGCAGTGCTGGAAGTGCCTGGCCCAAGAAAATGGCTGAGAATTTGGGACCTGGCTTTGGTGGTTTTTTTTGGTCCGGTTGTAGGGCCTGAACCCTGGGCCTGGGCGCTGTCCCTCAGCTCTTCAGCTCACACTCTACCACTTGAGCCACAGTGCCACTTCCGGCTTTTTTCTGCTTATGTGGTGCTGAGGAATGGAACCCAGGGCCTCATGCATGCAAGGCAAGCACTCTACCACTGAGCCACCTTCCCAGCCCCTGGCTTTTTTTCCATCCATTCCTCATTATAAGCCAAGTGACAGTACAGATGGGTCAATGTTAGATTGAGGGCAGGCAGGTGACTTTTTTTTTTTTGGGGGGGGCGGTGGTGGTGTCAGTACTGGGGCCTTTGTGCTTAAGGCCAGCACTCTATCACTTCAGCCACAGCTCTGCTTTTTGAAGGTTAGTTGAAGATACGAGCCTCATGGATTTCTCTGCCTAGGCTCGCTTTGAACTACAATCCTCAGACCTCAGCACGCTCAGCAGCCAGGATTACAGGCATGAGCCACTGGTGCCCGGATCACAGGTGACACCTAAATGAGCCAGAGGTACCCCAGTGGAAAAGGACCAAGGTAGTGGGCACATGAATGGTCAATAATGTCCCGTCACTGAGGCTGACTAACGGAGCCATAACCAAAAGAGACCCCAGAAACCAAACAAACCAGGAAGAAGCCGAAGGGTATTATATATCATGCTTTTAATACAAACTTAAAAAAATCTGGAACAATATAAACTGTACAGATTTGATCAATCTTTTTGTGTTTTTTTTTTAAACTAAATCTCTAAACACACCAATGTCCCATTCCAAAATATTGCACAACATTCTGAATACAAAACGTCTGATTGTATTCCTCCTTCACTAAAGAAAAACAGGTCATTTCCCTGCACCCCTAGCTCCTCTGCGGCTGTCCCAACATCCCCTTCCCATCCCCAAAGACTGAAGAATCTATCCAGAGTGCTCTGCGCTGCGGAAAGGCCACCCTTCTGAACAGACAGTTTTCCATTCTTTACAAAATAATCCCCCGTGTGACTGGTTCCCGGGGAAGGAGGACAGAGACAGAGGATAGGAAAAGGGGAGAAAAAGGTTTTATTCTCCTCTCTTTTTATTTTAAAGTTTGTTTTTCCTGAAAAAATATCAGTTTATCTCCTTTTTTTTAAGAAAAAATCCTGAAAAGAAAAAAATGTACGGTTCTTACGTTAGAAATATACATATATTATATATACCTCTTACATTTTACAAATGTAGCAAATTATCAATACAAACGGACACCAAGAAATGTAAAAAATAAAAAAAAAGTCCTATGAAACCAGGTACATTGTAGTGCAGAATTGTGTGGTTTTTTTCTTCTTTTTCCTTTAAAAAAAATAAAGTTGAAGCAAAAATGCCTGGATTTGAGACAAGACAGACTGAGCTGGGCATGGAAGCCCAGCGCTGGAGTCACGGGCCTCAACACTCATTTTTCTTCTTTTAAAGGGGGCTTGGACCCCTTCCCCCTACCTCGCCCAGCCCGGTGCGGGGAGGGGGGGCCGGTGTGCATGGGTACGGGGGGGGGACTGGGAAGCGGGGATAAGGCAGCGCCCAACCTGTCCCAGAGAGAAGCCATCTGCCTGGGGCCTGTCACCTGTGCGTCAGCCAAGGACAAGAGAGGGTGGCCGGGCCCGGGCGGGCCCCTGAGGTGGAAGGAACAGATGGAGCTGGGCGCAGAGCAGGCTCCGCCCGCTGGGGAGGTAGTGCTGGTGTCCACTGCAGGGAGAGGCTGGCAGTGTCTGTCTGGGCCCTCTCCACGGCCACAGCAGTTCCACTTGGGGTCCCTGGTGCTAAGTACTCGTAGGCCAAAGCATGGTGGTTTGGAGCTGCTCCTGGGTCAGAGAAAACCCTCCCTTCTAGAGGCGGGGGAGCAAGGGGACCGCTGTGACCCCAGGGCCTTGTGCCATCCAGCCTGGCCTTCCCAGGAGACCGGGCCTCACAGCGTCCGAGCCCCGAGGGGGGATGGCATGGGACAGCAACTCAGCAGCTGTTAAGCAGGGCACAGAGGTGCGCGAGCGCCTCCACGCCAGGCTCAGTGCCACGGGACACGGACACACATACACACGCGCGCGCGCGCGCGCGCGCGCACGCACACACACACACACACACACACACGGCACTGACTGGGAACTCCTGCTCTGCCTGCCGGGGGCTCAAGTCACGTGACCGGGCCAGGGCCGTGGGGCGTGTGGGTGTCGGAGGTTGGGGGGTTTTCCCCGTCTTGGAGCAAACCATTTAAAAAAAAAATTTTTTTTGGTCAAAAAACAACAAACCAAAGTGCAGATCCCTCAGTGTGGGGGACCCCCCGCAACCCCTCCCGGGAGGCTCTCAGGCTCGGACACACATCACCTCGCGGTGTGGACACCCCTGCAAGAGGGCTGACACCCCAACCTCGGGGTCACCTTGGAGAGTCACATCCAGAGGGGAAGCTCCACATGGCTCGGAATCCTTTAGCACGGGAGAGAAAACACAGACACATACACATGCTCTGCCCCGCCCCGCCCCGCCCCGCCCCACCCCGCCCCCTTGGCATGGATCAATAGATGGACCTCCGGGGCCAGGAGAGTATGGTGGGATGGGGCCAAAGGACAGAGATGAAAAGCATTTCAACGAGACACAGTGCGACCCTCCCTGTAGTCATCAGGACACTAGCTGCACAGGGGAGGGTGTTCAGTGGCCAGCTGAGGTTGGATGGCTTTGAGGACAGCCGGGTGACATGCAGTGAGTGACACAGGGCCAGCCTCTCCCCCTGCTCTGGGGAGAGGTGTGGCTCTAGCTGCTGCCCTTCCTTCCCGGTGAGCACGAATGCATGAATGCGACCATCCTTAAAGGAGTGTGAAGGAGGGAGGGAGGGAGGGAGCTGCGAGTCACAGCTGGGCCATTCTTCGCACAGGAAGCCACTAATTAACGATGGTATAAGGAAAACTACGTGTAAAAAAGAAAAAAAAGGAAAAATACAAAACCCAAATCAACCGAATAAATCAGAGGCAGGCAGGAAAATGTCAAGTGGTGGAGTTAAACACAATTCGGTGCTCTGAGCCCTTCCCACTCCTCGCCCGAGCCCCGGATCTTTCTTCTAGAAGCGAGAGGGAAAAGATGGAACCTCTTCTTGGATCGTTTTCTTGCCCTCGTGTTTTTGGCCTTTCCTTTCTCTTTTCCCTGGTCTGGAGCGCTCCTGGCCTGACAGGCGGGGGGCGGTCAGTTGGCCAGCACCACGGGCTGGAATGGCTGGCTGGGGTACTGCATGCTGTTCAGGTTGTAGCTGAGGCCTTCCACGAAGGGCGTCTTCTCCAGGAAGAGGCTGTTAGCGCCACCTCCGAACACCTGGGCCACGTCGAAGCTGCCGCCGCTACCGCCACCACTGCAGGTGCCAGCCCCGCCGCCCTGGCCATCAGCCCCATCAAAGAAGAGGCTGGGTGAGCCACCACCGTTGTAGACAAACTCCTTGGCATTGGGTGAGAGCTGGGACTGTGGGGCCGCGTTGGCCGCCATGAAGTTCAGTGAATGCATAGATAAAGACAGGCTCTTGTGCTTCTGCAGGTTGGTGGTGGGCGAGCGGGCGACACGAGGTTGTTGCTGTGCTGGCTGCTGGCCGCTGGCCCCGCTGCTGGCCACACCCCCCCCACCCGACGCCCCACCACCTTTCTTCATCTTGGTGGAGCCAAATTTGGTGGCAGCGAAGGAGGCGGTGGTGAAGGTGATGGGCTGGGAGGAACGGGGGATGAAGGTGGGGCTGGGGGACTGGCCGAAGGATGGAGACGGGGAGTTGGACAGGGAGCTGTTCTGGCTGCTGATGGGTACAAATACCTGGGCATCAGGGTTGAAGCTGCTCTTGATCTCCTTGTCCAGCTCGGGGGTCCCGCCGCCCTCGCTATCGTCCAGGTATAGAACTTTCACAGTGCCCTTCTCCCCGATCTGGTAGGACACCTCAAAAGGGTCGATCCAGACGCTCAGCTCCTCCGGCACGTTGGCCCGCACATCCTCCACTGCCAGGCCACTTCGCTTGGCAGCCAGCTCCACCACAGGGTCCACCATCTCCCCTATGTGGACACAGCGGAAGCCAGAACCCTTCAATGGCTTGTCAGGATACCAGTGGCCCTCATATTTCTTCTTCAAAAGCCGCTCTAGCTCCTCCCCAAACAGGTCTGCCCGGCGGCGGGGCAGCTTGTTGTACAAATATGAGATGATGAAGTTCAGAGCCACTTTGATCTCCAGCTGCATGATCCTTTTCTAGGCGGGCGATCAGCTCAGCTCACATGCACGGGCCAAGGTCAGTGGCAGGAGATACAAAGCGGGCAGCCTTGAGCTGCAAAGAGTTCTGGGAAATGAGAAAGTAGAAAGGCGTCATGAATACACAGGCAAAAAGAAAGTAGTGGTGATTGACGGTGAGTCAGAAAAACAAGAGGCACCAGTGGTTCATGCCTGTAATCCTTGCTACTCAAGAGGTTGAGGTTTGAGGATCATGGCAAACAAATCCCCAAGATACTTATCTCTAATTAACCAGCAAAAAAAGCCAGAAGCAGAGCATCGGTGGCTCACACCTGCAATCCTAGCTACTCAGGAGGCTGAGATCTGAGGATCGCGGTTCAAAGCCAGCTGGGGCAGGAAGGTCCTAAGACTCTTATCTCCAATAAGCCACTCAGAAAACTGGAAGTGGCGCTGTGGCTCAAGTGAGCTAAAGAGCTGAGGGATAGTATCCAGGCCCAGAGTTCAAGCCCCATGACTTACAAAATAAATAAATAAAAGAAAAAGAAAAATGAAGACAGAAAAGCGCTTGCTGCGGATCGCTCAGATCCCAGGCCAATTTCTGCCGCACCAGTATCTCCCCTTCAGTCACACAAGGCGAACATCAGAGAGGAAGTCTCATGCTGAACTCGATCATTAGCAGACACTTGATAAACAAGTACAACTGGGCACTTGTGGTCATGCCTGTAATCCAAGCTACTCAGAAGGCCGAGATCTGAGGATTGTGGTTAGAAGCCAGTCCCAGCTATCAAGTCTGTGAGATTCGTTTTTTTAAATAACTTTTTCTTATTGTGAAAATACTGTACAGAGGGGTTACAATTACATGAGCAAGGCAATGAGTACATTTCTTATCTAGCATTGTTGCCTCCTCCTTTGTTTTTCCCCTACCATCTCTTCCCTCCCACCTCCACAACTAGTCTCCCCACCCCACCTCCACCCTAAATTGTAAAGTTCATTTTTCCACATAGCGTCTTGTACATCTGTGAGATTCTTTTATCTCCAATAAACCACCAGGAAACTAGAAGTGGGGCTATGGCTCAAGTGGTAGAGTGCTAGCCTTGTGCATAAAACGCCCAGGGACAACTTTCAGGCCCTGAGTTCAAGCCCCACAACTGACAGGAAAAAAAAAATTCCATTTTCAGCCACTTTTATATCTCAGGTTTTCATGAACGATACTACAAAAGAAAGAAAAAGCCAGGCCGCTAATTACAGCTGAAGAAGGCCGCAACTGTCTCTACAATGACTCAGTAAAGTTCTGCCCCCAAACTGTCACAGGCCAAGATGTAAGTTTAAAATCTTGAGCTGTCCTCTTTAAATGGACAGGGATACAGGTCACCGAGCAGGAAGGAGTACTGCCAACACCACTGGGGCCCGGGCTGCATTCACATCCATCTGTCATCCTAAGCCCCGTGGGTGTGTGGGCTTTGGACTCAGTGTGGGTTTACAGAACTGACTTAAGAATTCCAAGCCAGGCCTGGTGGCTCATGTCTGTAATTCTGGCAACTTAGGAGGCCAAGATTTGAGGATCAAAGTTCAAAGACAGCCCAAGCTGGAAAGTCCATGAGACTCTCACCTACCAATAAGCTGGCAGAGGAGCCTGTGGTTCAAGTGGTAGAGCACAAGTCCTGAGCTAAAGAAGCCTGGGGACAGCGCCTAGCCCCCGAGCCAGCATAGAGAAACAAAAAATCAAGGTGTTCTGTAGTGTGACTAGAGCTTAAACACTTCCATCCAGAGAGCCTCTGAGAGTGGGGAGAAGACCATGATCACCAGGAAAACGGTAAGATCTGCCACAATCAGGGAAGTGGTCAACAAGGAAATCACCCACCAGGGGGCTGGCCCAGGGAAGTGGAGGAAAGGAACTGGAAGCAGAGTTGTCCAGGTCAGTGAGATCAAGAGCAACAGTCATGTGGTCCATAGGAATCCCTGAGGTTCCTAAGTGATGAGGGTGGCAGAGGGAAGAAATTTTCCACTAGCCTCCAGCGGGGGACCCCATCACCACCCGGTCTCCCAAGGGCTGTCTGACCACCTGTCCTCATCACAGGATCAGATTTACCAAGGGTTTGGACTGCCCTGCAGAGGAGGCAGTCCAGGATAAGCACCGAGATGGTTATTTTGGGATTCTCTCGCAGCCAGACCTCGCTAAGGTCAGAAAGGTTTACTCCTTAGGTGTCCTGTTTCAGGAAGATGATCTGTGAGGTCCCCAGGGCCAGTGAACCAGCCATCCTCAGCCCATCGGGAGGAACTGAAGTGAAAAGGGCCACGCCTGAGGGGAGGCAGGACCAGAGCATGTCCATTCCATAACCAGACCTGTCTCTGGGCAAGGTTATGTTGCTGAGCTGATCGACCCAAGGGCATCTTCTGTTCTGGAAATTACTCAGCTCAGGACATGATTTTGATGACAACCTCTTCTGGTTCCAGCAGAAACTATACAGATACTAATTCCAAACTTGGAGATCTCCAAGATTTTGAAGACCTGCCCTAACACAGTTCCGTACTTTTAGGACTGACTCTAGGCAATGATTCCTGAGGTGAGCGTGACTGAGAAGGTACACAGGGCCAATCTAATGCTGTAGAGTAGCATAAGACAGTGGCCGGGTCATTCCAGGCAGAGAGGGAGCCGTGGGCATAAGCGTGGTGACTGTGGCCCTCCCCAAACCTGCCACGGACACTCAGTATTCAGGAAATCCTGATTCCCTTCTCATCCCAGGCTCTAACACAGACTTGGTTTCAAATTTCTTCAAATGTCCATTCATGATTAAGGCAGATCAGCCCAGCGCCGATGGCTCATGCCTGTAATCCTACTACTCAGGAGGCTGAGATCTGAGGATTGCAGTTCAAAACTAGGCCGGGCAGGAAACTCCGTGAAACTATTATCTCCAATCAACCACCAGAAAACCAGGAAGTGGCATTGTGGCTCAAGTGGTAGAGCACTAGCCTTGAGCTGAGGGACAGCACTCAGACCCAGACTTCAAGACCCATGACTGACCAAAAAAACAAAAAAAAAAAAAACTGGAAGTGGTGCTGTGGTTCAAGTGGTGAGTGCTCACCTTGAGCTGAAGAGCTGAGGGACAGTGCCCAGGCCCAGAGTTTAAGTCCCATCACTGACAAAAAACAAAGAAAAAAAACAGATCAGGGCCTGGGAAGGTGGCTCAGTGGTAGAGCGTTTGCCTTGTATGCATGAGGCCCTGGGTTCGATTCCTCGGCACCACATAAACAAAAAGAAAAAAGCCGGAAGTGGCGCTGTGGCTCAAGTGGTAGAGCGCTAGCCTTGAGCTGAAGAGCTGAGGGACAGCGCCCAGGCCCCACAACCAGACCCCCCCCCCCAAAAAAAAAAAAAAAAAAAAAAGAATCTCATGGGTTTTTCTGCCTGGGCTGGCTTCAAACCACAATCCTCAGATCTCAGCCTCCTGAGTAGTAGATAACAGGCATGAACCTATGGCACCCAGCCTAGCTTTTTCTGTTGATGTGGTAGTGAGGAATCAATGCTAGGCAAGCACTTGTTACCACTAAGCCACATTCCCAGCTCCTTCACAACTTTTTTTTTTTGGTCAGTCATGGGGCTGAACTCTGGGACTGGGCGCTGTCCCTCAGCTCTTCATCTCAATGCCAGCACCCTCCCACTTGAGCCACAGCGCCACTTCCAGCTTTTTTCTTCTTGCTTATGTGGTTCTGAGAAATTGAACCCAGGGCCTCAGGCATGCAAGGCAAGCACTCTGCCACTGAGCCACCTTCCCAGCCCCGAGATTCTTATCTCTAATAAACTACTCAGAAAAAGCTAGAAGTGGTGCTGTGGCTTAAGTGGTAGAATACTACTCGAGCACAAAGAGGCTCAGGGACAGAAATCATGCCCTAAGTTCAAGCTCCAAGACCAGCAAAAAAATAAATAAAAAAAAAATTAAAAAAAGAATGAATAAAAATGAAGTAAAATTGGTGTGTGTGTGTGCTGGGGCACTGGGGCTTGAACTCAGGGTCACATACTCTCACTTGCCTTTTTTCACTCATAGATGGTACTCTACTCCTTATCCATGCATTTAGTTAAATAAAATACATCTCCCATCTTTTTTTTTTTTCCCTTGGCCCAAGGCTTGAACTCTGGGCTTGGGCGCTGTCCCTGAGGTACTTTTGCTCAAGACTAGTACTCTGCTACTTGAGCCACAGCACCACTTCCAGTTTTTTTCTGAGTAGTTTATTGGAGATAAGAGTCTCACAGACATTCTTGCCCAGGCTGGCTTTGGACCATGATTCTCAGATGTCAGCCTCCTGAGTAACTAGGAATATAGGCGTGAGTCACTGGTGCCTGGCAAGTAAAATAGACTTCAAGTCACTATATGACATTTAATAGTCCAAGGCAGTTAGTAAAGGCTTCCACATTTTCCCAGGTCTCCTCATACTTTGCTGTATAACTTTCCTTCTAAGTTAACAGCCTCTGAATAGTACAGCTTCAAAATGAGAGCCTTTTAAATGTAGGCTAAAGTCTTTGGGAAATAACCCTCCCACCCCCAAATACAATAGAACCACTGTCATCAGCCCTGTCTAGTGAGCCATTTTCTGCAGTATAAGCAACTAAAGCTGCACACCAGTTTATACTTCAGCGACGCTGCTGCATAAATAAGGAAACGGAATGCCACCTTTGCTTCTTTAGCTGCACAACAGGCCAGGCCACATGGTTATGAGGTGCAAACTACAAAAACGCCAGACAACAAGGATGGGATTTTCTGCTCCATCAGCTCAAGCTCTAATTCTGACTTCAAGAAGCTTATGGAACACAGGATTAGTGGCTAGTGCTGTCTTGTCTTCAGCTAAAGATAGGGGAGACCACTGAGATGAGTTTGTTCATTTTTTAGAAAGTGACAAGTCTAAAGCTTACATAGAAAATATTTATGGAAGTGGTAAGCTTAGAAAGGTTAGAAAGAACTTTTTTTTTTCCTATCTTTTTTTTCTTCCCTTTTTTGGGTGCCAGTCCTGGGGCTTAAACTCAAGGTGTGGACCACTTGAGCCACAGAGCCACTTCTGGCTTTTTCTGAGTCTCATGGGCTTTTCTGCCCACACACTGGCTTCCGAGTGTGATCCTCAGAACTCAGCCTCCTGAGTAGTTGGGGTTACAGGGGTTAACCACCAGCACCTGGCTGCAAATAACAAATCTAGTAAGCAGACTTATTAAGCAGCTGCAGAGGACTCTTCAGATCTGCTCCAGCAAGAAAGAAGAGAAGAGAGAGAAGAGAAGAGAAGAGAAGAGAAGAGAAGAGAAGAGAAGAGAAGAGAAGAGAAGAGAAGAGAAGAGAAGAGGACAGTAACAAAGCTTCTTCCTTGTCAATGTGTTAAAAAGTTGCAAGAGCAAATCGGGTGCTGATTGAAAGCTTCAGTCTTCACTCGTTTACTTCCGGCCAGTGAGCTCTGCTTTGGCCGCGGAGTGGACCCGGGTTCTGGGCGAGGGGAGAAGCGGGGAGGGCACGAAGGCGGCCTCGTCAATCACCAAAACGCAAGGCACCATTTCAAAGGAAAAAGCAAAAGAAAAAAAGGTGCCTGCGTTGTCAACCGGGAAAGGAGATGAATGGCGAAGGAGTCTTCTGGGTCCCAGACCTACACACACTCTGACACTTCCAGCCCCCGGCTCCCCGCGGGCCCGCACGCCCGGATTCCGGGGAGCGTGGGCAGGGGCCCAGTCAGTTGCGGCGAGGCCCGCGGCTGGGCGTCCCCGGCAGGCTGGACCGGCCGTCCCGGAGGCCGAGGCTGGTGCTCGGCCGGCTTCCAGGACTCGAGCCTCCAGCACCCCGCACGCCATTTCCCCCCGAACACAGCGCAGGCCTCGGGGGGCCCGGGGGGAACGGTGATGGTGGTGGTGGTGGTGTCCGCCTTTCTCAAGATCCGGGCGACTGTGCTCTGCACCCGGGGGGGCCCTGCACCCCGGGAGCCGGAGCCCTTCCCTTCCCGCCCCCACCCCGCGCGTGACCTACTTTCGGTACACGCTCCGTTTTCCCGCGCACTGCGCATGCCCGGCAGAGGGACCCAGCCGAGGGTCGGAGCGGAGGAAAAGTTTCCGATGCACATGCGCAGTGGGGCGACGGGCGGGCGCCCCCTCCCACCGCCGGCGAGCCGTACAAGGCCTTGCTGGCCGCCGGCGCCTCCAGCTCTCCGCCTGCCCCCGGCCCGGGCTCCCCGAGGGCCCGGACTTTCCCCGCGTCTCGTCCTGACCTCCCACGCTGGCTGCATTAGGGATGTGCATCGAATGGGTTTTTTTGCGGGTGAAGGGGGTGAGCGGGCGGGGCAAGGCCGCGTCCTCGCTTTAGCTGAACCCCAGGAGCCGTCTGGGGGCCGGCTGGAGGTGGGCGCCGCGGGTTTGCCTTGCAGGAACACCCAATGGCTCGGCTCCAGCACCCCGCAGCCAGGAAAGGCAGGGCAGGAATCAGACCCCGTTCTCTTGGCCTCTCGGCCAAAGAAATTCCCAGTTGAGCTGTGGGTGGGGAGGCAAGGGGGCGAGCCTCACCCCACTTGTAATCCAAGTCTGGGTAACCAGACCCAGGTAGGGGAAAAGGGAAAAAAAAGGTCTCCAGGCAGGGAAGGGAAAACTGTATACATCTGAAACCCGAGCATCTCCTAATACTTAAGATTCTGTGTGCGAGTCTCCTCCCACGGCAAGGCCTACCCCACGACGAGACTCACCAGGTCCTGGGCAAAGCTCCCCTCCAGGGTGTTAAACCTCCCTAATCCTTCCTCCCACACAAGCTGCTTTCACCGATGCTCGAGAGACAGATGGGGGCAGGAGCCCGAAAAAGCAATAGGGGTGTTTTTCTGGGAAATCGGAGATGAGGGACCTACTCAGAGTAAGATGAGGGGAAGGAGAAACAAACGCATATAGGTTAGATGCCGTTCAGGCCCTAGAAACCCTGCCTGCTGGTCCCCAAGTTGTCCCCAGGGGAAGGGAGGGCCTGCAGGCTGTCCCTCCTTTGCTTCCCCAGAATTCTGGTCCAGGGTTCGGGTCCCCTCCAGCCTCTGGAGGGGAGTTAAGGAGTAGGGTGCCAGTTCTCCTAGATGCCTCACCTAGATGAATCGACTCACTGGCATAGCTCTAGAGGTACTTCTGTTTTTGTTTTCCACCCGGTTTTCCCTCAAAAGCACATTAGAGGATAAAGAGCTCAAGCTGAAAGGAATTCAAGCTCAGGATCCCAAAGGGCAGTTCCACTAACGGGTCCCATCACCAAACATGGGGTATCGGACCCCCCTCTCCCTTCCATCCCTCCGGCTCCAGCGGACCAGAAAGAACTCGTATTCATAATCACCACCACCACCACCACCCCTTCCCCGGCTGCAGACGGGAAAAGCAGCAGAAAAACAAGGCCTGGATCCCCCCCACACCCTCTTTCCTTCCTCGGGTTTATTTAACGGCGGTGGGAGTTAGGTTTCTTTGCATAACAAGGAAATAAATCAAGCGAATATTCTGGAGAGCTGGCCTCGGGAAGGGAAGGGAGGTAATGCACCCCACTCCAGAGGCCACCCTTGGAAGTGAGAGAGCAGAACGGGGATAAATGTGGGTACCCAGGACCGGAGAGGGGCGCTCAGAGGAAAAGTGGGGGGGGGGCTCGAGGCAAATGCTGACCGGGCGGCGGAGGGTCCCCCAAGCCGGGGAGCCGGAGCGGGCGGGGTGGGAGGCGGTCGAGCAGGTGGGTGTCAGGGTGCCCCCCCTCCCCACAGGTCCCCGCACTCACTCGGGTGTCCGCGACGGCGGCGGGGCGGCGTGCCGGCCACGGGGCGGCTTCTCCGGCCGGCCAGGGTGGTCCTGAGCGCGGGGCGCACGCCGACGGCTCTCCGGGGCTGCCCGGGTGCCGCAGAGCCGGGGTTCGAGGTGTCCTCTTCGTGGTTGAGAGTTGGGGGCCAGAAGAGGGCTGTGACTCGGACTCTTTATTGAATTCTTTCAGCCTTCCGGAGGTCGGGTTTGGCGGCCCGGGGCCGAGGACGGGCGGGTGGACGGGGCCGGCGGCGTCGGCCCGGGGATGGTACACCGAGAGTGGTTTGCGTTGGGGAGCGGAGGACGGAAGGGTTGTAGCCGACGGGCAGGTCCTGCTTTTCGGGCCACGCGTCGCCCGTGCCACCGCACTCAGTCCCGCCGGAGACTCGCTCCTTCCCGCGCCCCGGCCCGAAGTGAGCAAAGTCAATGAAAAGTTTCACCCTTAGCAACCCTGCGCAGGGATCCGGCTTCCCCGCCCCGGCGTGATGCGTCCCTCCGCCCTGCCGGGGCGGGGCCGGGCGCCGGGCCGGAACTACTTTCCTGCCTGTGGCCGCTTAACTCTTAGCGCCCGGGTGTGGGGCCGCCCTTGGGGACCCGGGTGTGCCCTGCATCTTTCCTTAGGGACGCCCAGATTCGGCCCCCCGACCCTGCCGTGCGTGCAGCCACCTTCGGAACGAGGCTTCCCCCTCCTCTTCCCATCACAGTGTTGCCAGGCTGTCCCCCCCCCCCCTCAGCGTGTAGGGTGCTTTCCCCAGGAGGCCCGAGCTTGGTGGGGGCAGGGACCATGCTGGGATGCAGTGGGCGCCCCAGGACCGTCCCGGGGCGCAGGGGCACTTGCCCTGGATGCATTGGGTGGGTGAATGTCGTGGGGGGCAGGACCGTCCTCCAAGGCCACCTTCGCGCGTGGCTCCAGGTCTGTCGGTACGGCTGTCCTGCAGCGCGCACCTCGTTCCTTCTCGGATGGAGGAAACTGGGGGCCCCAAGGAGAGCTTTAGAAATGTTTCTGTACTCAGGTTGGCCCTAGCATTCTTACCGCTGCAACAACGCACCTTTGTGGAGGAACTTAGTAACAAGGAGGGAGGGCGAGGGGGTGGGTAATCTGAGGCCTGGAGACCCTTGTGCGGGAGGAAGTCAAGCCAAAGAGGGAGCCAGAAAGCCAAGGAAAAGAGCCAAGCACCACGATTAACCGTCTACAGCGCGCCCCCTCCTTCCGATCCCCACTCCCAGCGCCTGAGTTCCCTGCGCCAGGAGAAGGCCAGGGCCAGCGCCACGCGTGTGCGGAGCGGCCGCGGACACCCCAGCTAGAGATCCCCATAGGGGGTACAAGTGAGCCGCAGGTCTAGCAATCAATTGTCCCGCGGTACCCGCGCAGGGCGAGGCGGCCTTGCACACTTGCACACCCGACGATGTGTCTGTCGGGAGGTGAGGCCGGGCTGGCGGAGTGATGGAGGGGTGCGCTAGGCCCACGGGGGCCTGGACCTCTGTGTCGGTGCGGGGCACAGCTAGTTGGAGGGTAGGGAGGGCTCGTGCTCGGCTGAGGACACAGGCGGACTGGACTGACAGATGGAGGGGCCCCGGGGACGCAGGTCTTTCACAGGAATCATCTGCCCTTTGGAATGTCCCTTCCCCGATCCTCCGCCTCCCTGGGTTATTCTCATTCTTGGCAGCTGCGGACCCCACGTGGGGTGGTGGTGAGGTCGCAAAGTTTCCACTTACAAACAGTTTGCATCTTACTTTTCTTGCTCACATTTTGGGGGGAGGGGGTGGGAGAGGCAAGGGCTGAGGTTTTAAATTCGCTCTCCTTGGTTGCAGTAGAGCAACGCCAAGCTGGAGGGCAAAACACCGAGACCGACGGGGCGGGAGAGGGGGGCGGGGAGGCGAGGAGCGCGCCGGCCCTCCCCCACACCGAGCGCTCCAGCCCCGGGCACCTCCTGGGACTACTTGCTTCGTGCGTCAGCGAGTGGCACAGCGTCACGCACACGCCTCCTCGGCCTTTCCTGGCTTCGGCCCCCCCCCCCCCTTTCTCCCCAGTTCTCCACATCTCCTCCCCGCCTGCGCGTCCCACCTTGGCAGTGAGACAACTCTGCCCTCAAAGCTAAAAATTGACTAACGGGGTAGCAACAGACCTCTGATTGGTCGGCGAGTGAGGCGGCGCGGCGTCTGATTGGGTTGTGTATGTAACCACTAGGAATGAGCGGTAGGTAGCCTGTGCTTTGCGCAAGGCATGCTGGTATTTGTAGTCATTAATTAGAGCCAGTCACGGAAAGATGAGGGAGAGCTGGAATGATCCTGTCCTAGAGTACCTCGGGAAGAAGGGATGGTGTTCGTGTTAGCAGATATAGGTAGACATCTGCTACCATTCCGCGCAGGCTGAAGATGGAAGTTTCTGCGTGATCCCGCTTGTGTTTAAATCTCTCTTGCAGTGCTGGAAACACAGGCCTTGGGCAGTACCACTAAACCCCGAGAAATCCAGCCTTCTCGGCGATTTGGAGCTCTGGGTGAAGGGTTAGAATATAAATAGAAGACAAAGTAAAGGGGGAAAAGGTATCAGCTCTTTCCTAACTGAAGATGTCTCGATTTATCATGTGGTGAGGATTTTTTTTTCTACCCCAGCATGTGATTTCATCTTGCCAAGGCATAATTATGAGTTCCTACTCAAACATGCCACATTCACCTCCCATTTTGAATAATCATCTGTTGTAAAGGTACACACCTTCAAAACAGTGAGTTCTGGGAGCAACCCAGTGCAGAGCAACTCCTCTGTCTGAGTAATGCATGTTATGCCAGGTGTTTTGGTGCCAGTGACAAGTCAGACTGGTCATAATTGGCTCCAATTAACTCAGGATGAATCACTAATATAAACACACAATCAGGGTAAAAAATTTTGTATGGTTTCATTGAAGTTATGTGTCATTGAGGCTATCTAGGAAAATAGTCTGTAGTTTGATTCTTCAAATATACTTCTGTAGCTGGGCAGGAGCAGACAACCACAACAGAAACTGGCACTGGGAAAGTGGCTCCTGAGGGCAAATGATTTGCTTTGTGTGTGCCAGTATTGGGATTTGAACTTGGGAGTCTGGGTGCTGTCCTTTAGCATTTTCACTCAAGGCAAACACTCTACTACTTGATTCACACCTCCACTGCTCCCTTTTTGGTGGTTAATTTAAGTCTAATGGACTTCCTTACCCAGGCTAGCTTTGAACCACTATCTTCCAGACTTCAATCTTCTAAGTAGCTAGGACCATAGGCTTGAGCTACCAGCACCCATCTACAAAAACTTTATATGAGGCCTTTTCTTTCTGCTAGTACTGGGGCTTGAGCTTGGTGCTTGGGCACTGTCCCTGAACTCTTTTGCTCAGGCTAGTGCTTTATCACTTGAGCTACAGCTTTTTGTGGTTAACTGGAGATAAAGAGTCTCTTGAGCTTATCCTGCTTAGGTTGGCTTCAAACTGCAATATTCAGATCTCACCTCCTCAGTAACTAGAATTACAGGTGTGAGCCACTGACTGGTGACTGGCATAAGGCCTTCTTAGTAAGGGTCAGGTACCTAATGAAATTTAATCTTCACCACTTACAAGGAAGGCATGATTATCCAGAAATACAGAGGGACTAAATGACTTGATAGATAAAGGTCAACAGTGGAGCAGAATAGAAATATAAAGCCCCCCTCCCCTTTTTTTTTCAGTCGTGGGGCTTGAATTCTGGGCTTGGGTGCTACATTCTTCAGCTCAAGGCAAGAGCTCTACCACTAGAGCCACAGCGCCACTTCTGGTTTTCTGGTGGTTAATTGGAGATGTGTCTCAGGGACTTTCCTCTCTGGGCTGGCTTTGAACCGCAATCCTCAGATCTCAGCCTCCTTAGTAGCTAGGATTACAGGCATGAATCAGCACCCGGCATATATATATATACATATATATATATATTCTTTAAAAAATATGTATTTTAAAAGAGTAAGCATACATGCATTAGTAATGTTGTCATTCTTACAATCCTGGCTGCTTCAGAGGCTAAAGCAGAAGAACCTAAGTTGGAGGTCAATCTTGGGAATATATAGCTAAGACCCTAGATTGGGGCGGGGGGGGGGGGGGGGGGGGGGGGGGAGGGAAGCAATGTTGAAGGGATTAAATGGCCACATATTTTCAGAGTACATGTATGACAAAATGCAGAAGCATACCAATTCTTTTTAAGAGCCTAGAAAACTGAATATAATAGCAATACTAATCATACATTTAGGAAAGAGAACATTTCTCAGAGCTGACTATGAGTTCAATTATTTCAACTACATCTAGGCAGGTAGCAGTGCTTACTTCAATAATGGAAATGAATACCAGTAATTATGACTAGATAGTTATTTTTGGTTTTTTTGTCAGTCGTGGGGCTTGAACTCAGATCTCAGCCTCCTGAGCAGCTAGGATTATAGGTGTGAGCAACTGGCACCTGGCTGACTAGGTGGTTATTAAGTAGCAGAAGGCTAGTGAGCTAGCTTGCTGGTAGACTTGCATGAATATAAGCCCTGAACTTGATACCACGCAACTCCAGAAACAAAATGCAACTGTATTTTTTTTTTGTAAGATTACTGATTTACAAAACATTTGAACTCAAAACATTCAATTCACCAACACTAAGGCAATTGTGTGTGTATGTGTATATTTTTTGCCAGTCATGGGGTCTGGGCACTGTCCCTGAGCTGCATTTGCTCAAGGCTAGCACTCTACCACTTGAGCCACAGCACCACTTCTGACTTTTTCTGCTTATGTGGTACTGAGGAATCAACTCTACCACTAAACCACATTCCCAGCATATATATATATATATTTCTTTCCAGTTATTTAATTGGAAATGTCTCCCAGACTTTTCTGCTTAGACTGGCTTTGAATCTAGATCCTCAGATCTCAACCTCTTAAGTAGCTAAGTGGCATGAGCCACCTGAAAATGATCTTGACTCCACCTGATGCTTTAGAACTTTCCAAATACATCACCAGGCTCAAGACTTTTCCTGTTGTGTCTCCCACACACATGCCCTGTCCACCCTGTCCTATTTGGTATCTTTCACAGTTCAGTTTGTTCTCTGGTGTCTTTACTTGTTATTCCTACAACACTGAATACTTGGGCTCTGCTGGGCAGAATGCAGCTTCAGAGATGCCAGTCAATCAGTTTGCGAAGCACACATAGAATGCCGTGTGGGAGTACAAAGGGAAGTTAAGATTGCGGGTTGGGAGACATCTGAGGACATATTTGGCTCAGGTCTGAAGGATGAGTAGGAGGTAGCTGAGCAAGACTGGGTGGGGAGCAGCACTTTAGAGAAATCAACAGATAAAAAAAAATAAAACACATTACCCAGGTGTGGTGGCTCAAGCCTATAATCCTAGCTACTTGGGAGAGGGAGACGGGATTGTGGTTTGAAACCAGTTTGGACAAAAAAATTTGAGAGGTTCCATCTTACTCAGTGTCTGGGTGTAGTGGCACATGCCTGTCATACCAGCAATAGGAAGCACAAGGGATCCCAACCAAAGTCTGCATAAAGCAGGACCCTCTCTCAAAACTAATTAAGGCAGGAGGTTGAGATGTGAAGAAGAAAGGTCTTTGTGACTTCATCTCTCATCACCAGCAAAAATTACTAGACTGGAGGCATGACTGAAGTGGTAATGTGCAAGCCATGAGCAAGAAAGCCAAGTGAGACTCTGGGAGTTCAAGTCCCAGTATTGGGATGTATACACAAAAATTCCCAAACTGGTACAGTGGCTGTCTCTAATCCTCACTTTGGAAGGTTGAGATCGAGAGGTTGGCAGTTTGAGGCCAGCCTGGGTATACCCATGAGATTCCTTCTCTATCAGTATGTGGGCACAATGGCATGCTCCTATTATCCAAATATAGCAGGGAAGTATAAAATACAGCTGTGGTCCAGGCAATAACCCTATCTCCAGTGCAAAAACAGGCTGACGGTGGTTCAAGTGGTGGAGTGCCTCATCAGGAAGAACAAGGCAGAGTCCAAACTCCAGTTCTGGAAAAAAAATTCTCAAAGGAAGCATGGGCGCAAAGCAAGAATCGATGAACTTAAAACAGTAACAAAAGAAGTGGCTGGCCTTGGGCTGGGAAGGTGGCTCAGTGGTAGAGCGCTTGCCTTGCATGCCTGAGGCCCTGGGTTCGATTCCTCAGCACCACATAAGCAAAAAGAAAAAAGCCGGAAGTGGCGCTGTGGCTCAAGTGGTAGAGCGCTAGCCTTGAGCTGAAGAGCTGAGGGACAGCACCCAAGCCCAGAGTTCAGGCCCCATGACCGGGCCCCAAAAAAAAAAAAAAACAAAAAACAAAAGAAGTGGCTGGCCTTGAGTTCCTTCTTGTTAGCCAGAGAACAAGGTACTACTTCATGAATCCTACCATCTCTATGCAGAGCCATCAATTCCTAGATGAGTGAAAAGAGATTCCTGAAGTTCAAGGACTCACTACCAGAAAATAAACACCAACTTTATTAAACAATAGCAACAGAAAGGGTTTCCAATTTCTCAGCAGAAAAATAACCTGAAACCAGCACCACCTGGTGAGCGCTACAAGATCAAAAGCTCACGTCACATTTGGAGTCCCATGGCACCCCGCCACTGAGAGGGCCATCAAGGGCAAGTGCCATCAGCGGGGGCTAGAAGAACATGCTTTTCACTAGGGGTGGCTTCACTCCCAATTCCTCAGAGAGAAGGCTGAAAGGACCTTATTCTTGTTTAGGTCTTGGTGCAGAGAGATAGCAATGGGGAGAACAGAGCTAGGTCCTTGCATTCAAGAAAAATCATGAACCTATTCATTTCTGATCATTTGTCAGACTGCTCTCTGAAGAATCTTACTCCATCCCCAACCCATCTGGGTGTGGGAAGGAAAGGCTGGCAAGTGCCCATGCACTGGCTAGGCAGTTTGGGTGATGCTAGGCTTTGCTCCCTTTCTGCTGGTGGTAGATGTCTTTTCTGGCAGCCGCAGTAGCTCGATGGCAGGAGGCTGGGCTCACCTGCTCATCACCTCTTCTTGAAGCCGTATTTTTTACGTTCATAGAACAGATCTGTCTTAGAGCTCCCCAAATTGACAATCTTTGGGCAACCATCTCTCTGTGAAGTAAAACAGAAGAGTCAGTTAAGTCTTTGGGCTTGACTAAATGATGATTTTAAGATACAAATATGAGCTGGGCACTGGTGGCTCATACCTGTAATCCTAGTTGCTCAGAACACTTGCAGGATCTCAGTTCAAAGCCAGCCCGGAGAAAGAGAAGTCCATAAACTCTTATTTCTAATTAACCAGCAAAAAGCTGAAGTGGAATTGTAGCTCAAATGGTAGAGCACCAACCTTGAGTTTGTAAAAGCTAAGGGATGGTATCCAGGGACCAAGTCCCAGAACTGGCAGGCAAATAAACAAATGCAAAGGATCAAAGCAAACACAAAAATTAGTAAGTTAAAAACCAGGAGAGGGCTCAATGTGGCTGAATTTGTAAAGCCCTTGCCTACTGAGCTTGTACCTAAGTTCAAATCCTCAATACCTCAAGTTTGCTGGGTGCCAGTGGGTCATGCCTATAGTACTAGCTACTCAGTAAGCTAAAATCTGAGAATTGTGGTTTGGAGCCAGTCTGGGCAAAAAAATCTGGAGACTCTAATCAAGCTGGAACTGAAGGCCTGGTTCAAGTGGTAGAACACTAACCATGAGTGGAAAAGCTGAGGGAGAGCTTGAGGTTCTGAATTCAAGCTCCAGAACTGCTCACTACCCCCTGCCCCCAAAAGGGCACCTCTTACTGGCCAAAAGAATCTTGATTCTAAATATAGCAGCACCTGAGTCTTCTTGTCAGTTGTGGCACTCGAACTTGGAGCCAGAGTGCTGTCCCTAAGCTCTTTTGTTTGCTCAAGACTTGTGTTCCATCTCTTTGAGCTACAGGCTCCACTTCTGGTTTTCTGGTGATTAATTGGAGATAATCTCAGGGACTTTTCTGCTCAGGCTGGCTTTGAACTTTGATCCTCGGTTCACAGCCTCCTGAGTATCTAGGATCACAGGCCAGGTGAACCTCTGACACGTTCCTTCACCCTCATTCCCCTCAGTGAAGACACAGACATGACCGTGGAGGTAGAATGCACCTCGGAGAATGACAAGCATAAAATGCTCAGGGGTGAGACTGATGGGAACTTACTGTAAACATGTGGAAATGAAACGAGTCCTTTGTGTATAACTAACATAAGATAATACCACTACTAAACAATAATGCAAAAAGAGGGTGGAGAGCTGGATGTGTTGGCTTACTCCTGAGACTAGGAAGATGTTTGGAGGTAAGAGTTTAGAAGCCAGGTGTCGTGACACATGCCCACCATTCCAGATACGGTGGCAAGCAGAAAAAGGGGAAATCAGAATCCACATGTGGACCTAGGCAAAAAGTGAGACCCTGTTTCAAAAGTAATCACTACACTAGATGGGCTGGGAAGGTGGCTCAGTGGTACAGCACTTGTTTTGCATGCCTGAGACCCTGGGTTCGATACCTCAGCACCACATAAGCAAAAAAAAAAAAGCTGGAAGTGGCGCTGTGGCTCAAGTGGTAGAGCGCTAGCCTTGAGCTGAAGAGCTGAGGGACAGCGCCCAGGCCCAGAGTTCAGGCCCCATGACCGGACTCCCCCCCCCCCCAAAAAAAAGTAACCACTAGAACAAAAGGCTAGAGGTATAGCTCAAAGGTAGACTGCCTGTACAGTAAGCTAGCAAAGGAAAAAGATAAAAATACTAGAGGGACTGGGAAGATGGCTCAGTGGTTGAGTACTTGTCTTGCATGCATGAGGCCCTGGGTTCGATTCCTCAGCACCACATAAGCAAAAAAGCTGGAAGTGGCGCTGTGGCTCCAGTGGTAGAGCGCTAGCCTTGAGCTGAAGAGCTGAGGGACAGTGCCCAGGCCCAGAGTTCAGGCCCCATGACTGGCGGGAAAAAAAAAAAAAAAAAAATACTAGAGAATGGGCTGGGAAGGTGGCTCAGTGGTAGAGTGCTTGTCTTGCATGCATGAGGCCCTGGGTTCGATTTCTCAGCACCACATAAGCAGAAAAAGAAAAAAGCCGGAAGTGGGACTGTGGCTCAAGTGGTAGAGTGCTAGCCTTGAGCTGAAGAACTGAGGGACAGTGCCCAGGCCCAGAGTTCAGGCCCCACGACCGGACCCCCCCACCTCCCCCCCCCAAAATACTAGAGAATGGCTCAAGATAGAAGGACATTTTAAAGTTGAGAATATTTGCTTCCCTCCTTCCTTCCCTCCCTTCCCCATTTCTTGGGCCTGGGTACTGTCCGTGATCTTTTTGTGTTTGTGTCAGTTGTGGGGCTTGAACTCAGGGCCTTAGAGCTGTCCCTGAGCCTCTTTGTGCTCAAACTAGTGCTCTACGACTTTGAACCACAGCACAACTTCTAGTTTTTTGTTTTGTTTTTATTCGTCGTGGGCCTGAACTCTGTGCCTGGGCGCTGTCCCTCAGATCTTCAGCTCAAGGCTAGCACTCTACCACTTGAGCCACAGCACCACTTCCGGCTTTTTCTGCTTATGTGGTGCTGAGGAATCAAACCCAGGGCCTCATGCATGCAAGGCAAGCATTCTACCACTGAGCCACCTTCCTGGCCCTCTTTGGTTACTTTTCATTATTTTTTTCAATCCTGAGTTAAGCCTACGCAAGCCAAACTAAGATCCTCCTACCTGTTGCATAGGTAAGACTACAGTAATGTTACACACCATGCTGGGCTTATTATTATTATTATATTATTATTTTTGGGTCCAGTCGTGGCGCCTTAACTCTGGGCCTGGGTGCTGTCCCTCAGCTCTTCAGCTCAAGGCTAGTGCTCTACCACTAGAGCCACAGCGCCACTTCCGGCTTTTTTCTTTTTGCTCATGTGGTGCTGAAGAATTGAACCCAGGGCTTCACGCATGCAAGGCAAGCGCTCTACTAATGAGCCACCTTCCCAGCCCCTAGGCTTATTATTTGACCCGTGTGTGTTTGTGTGTGTGCGCGGGGAGGGGGGGGGTATTGTTTCTCTTCTTTGCCTAATGAAAAGTCATTTTCTCAGCAACTGTTTAATAAATACCAATGATGAAAAAAAAGATACTATACCAGTTTGGACAATTAACAGTATTACATTTTCTACCTGAAGCTTTACTTTTAATTAGCAACAGTAACATCAAACATCTCATGGAGACATTTCTACAAAGGTGTATAATATATTCCAATCTAACTCAATCCTTCATTCTCTCTTATTGAAACTTTAAAACCCTTCGAGCACCTAGTTCTTAGTAAAAGCACTGCTTGAGTCTACAGATTTCTTCTTTTTGTAAAAATTTTCACAAAGCCACATATAGCACAGTTGCAGCAACGTCAAGACATGCATGTTGGCTTTTTGTCTATTTTTTTTTTTTTATTGGTCAGTTGTGGGGTTTGAACTTAGGATTTGGGCGCTGTCCCAAGCTCTTTTGCATAAAGCTAGCAGTCTACCAGTTTGGGCCACAGCTCCACTTCTGGTTTTCTGGTGGTTAACTGGAGATAGTCTCACACACTTTCCTGCCTAGGCTGGCTATGAGCAGCCTCCAGAGTAGCTAGTGTTACAGGTGTGAGCCACCAGTGCCTGTCTCTTTTTTTCTTTTAGTGGTGCTGGGGACTAAACTCAAGGCTCCAGCTTGCTAGGCCATGTTTATACCACTTGAGCTAACCTCCAGTCCCCAGAGGGGAGCCAGGAGCCAGGAGATGCCAGGAATTCTAGCTCCTTAGGAGGCTGAGTTTGGGAGGATTACGGTTTTTGCTCAGGCAAAAGTATGAGATTCCTTCATCTCAATCGATAAGCTGGACATGGGAGTGCAGGCGTGCCATCTCATTTGTAAACCTTAGCTGCCATATCTATATCACACAGAATTCAGCAAGAACTCCAAAAAGCATTACTTGACTCTTGAGTTCAGTGCCTAGTATCACAAAGGGAGAATTAAAAAAAAAAAAAGTCCTCATAAACATGACTGCCATTTTTCTTATTGTCTAGTTGGGAGAGGTAGGAAGATGGTTCAGTTAGAGGGGGTTAAAATGCTGATGAACTAAGAAACTACCAATTGTTCTGTGGTGTCACAAGTAGCATCCCTGATTCCTGGTTACTCTCGCAGCTTGAAAAACTACAAATGAGGACACCTGGCTTAGCTTACCGGCCTCATTTTCTTATCAATTATGAAAGCTGCAGGAAGAGAACAATGATGGAAGTATTTTGTTGAGGGAAGGTTACCACATAGGAAAAAACATTGGGCACTTAATCTATGTGATGATCAGCAAGGACAAGAGGCTGGATCATGTCACTGACTGCGCTGTGTCCCTTGGAAACTAGTGCTAAGTAAATGTGAGCTACATGCCTTCTCAAATATCTTCAGAACCTTCCCATATAATGGGAAGCAGGGGAAGGGACATCTAGACTAATTTTCAGTGACAGAATGAGGCAGAAGGATTCAAAGGTATCAGGTCACCCATAATGTACCAACAAGCCAGACAGCGATTAACATTAGGCATTCTCTGCTTGCAAGTTTATGCCAGCTAAATACTCAATATAAACGTGTCAAAGTTTAAGAAAGTCTTGTTCTTAAAATGGACTCTACGGGTAGTTGAAGAATTGCTTGTTAAAAAAAAAAAAAAATTGCTTGTAGTCAGGCACCAGTGGCTCATATCTGTAATCCCAGCTACTCAGGAGGCTGAGATCTGAGGATCATGGTTTGAAGCCAGCCTGGGCAGGAAAGCCTGAGATTCTTTTTTTTTTTTTTGGGGGTGGGGTGGGGGTGGTCATAGGGCTTGAACTCTGGGCCTGGGCACTGTCCCTCAGTTCTTCAGCTCAAGGCTAGCACTCTACCACTTGAGCCACAGCACCACTTCTGGTTTTCTGGTGGTTTATTGGAGAAGAGTCTCACAGACTTTTCTGCCTGGGCTGGCTTTGAACTTTGATCCTCAGATCTCAGCCTCCGTAGTAGCTAGGATTACAGGTGTGAGCCACTGGCAGCCGGCTATGAGATTCTTGTCTCCAACTAACCAGAAAACCAGAAGTGGTGAGATGGTTCGAAGTGGTGGAGGGACAGTGCCTAGGCCCTGAGTTTCAGCCCCATGCCCAACAACAAGAACAAAAGAATTGCTTGTATCTTCTCTTCACTGCTTGTACACTGTAAGTAAGTAATTAACTATAACATACTGTTCCTATGTGTCTGTTGGGGTGGGGGGGCGCTCAGGACTCCAACGAACCCTATATAGGGTAACACCAAAACACATACAGCATACTTGAATTGTAAGTTCGGGATTGTAGTGAGAACCAAAAAAGAGAGACAAATAAAAGAAACAAAATCCATTCCCTTGAAGGAGTATCATTTACTTGGTGAACTAGCTTCACACTGAAGGAAATCAGAATATGATGCTAGTCTAAGGTAAAGAAATGCAAATCAGAGTTTCAAACAGGACAGGGTACAAACCACCAACTGAAATTATGTTTAATACTTTATGACCTTTCTTGTTGTCGTACACAGAAGAGTAATGGTGTAGGAAATAAGTATGACAAGATGGTTCATGCCTGTCATCCTAGCACTCAGCAGGCCTAGGCAAGAGTACTTTGAGTTGAAGTCAAACTGGGATTACACAGGAGACCCTATGTAAACAGACAAGACACACAGAGTCTCATTTGGCTTGTGTACTGGGGGCAGGCAGCATCTAAATGTATAGACTGCTGAGGTGGCCGGGCTGTTTCTCCTCATATAAGAACACACCCAGAGGATTTATATGAAGTCCAGTATGATGTAATATCGACACCACAGGGTGTAGCTACACAGCCTAGTTTGTCACTTATAGCTAGGAGGACTGTAAAAATGGGGACAATAACAATGATTCCTATTTAACAAAATTACTGTGAGGAACAAGGAAGATAGCATCGACAAACTACCTGTACTCTGCTCATGGAACAGAAGCATATATTTTGCCTTATGCTAGATTAGGCAAGCCAATACTATTAGTCTAGTAGGCTACATATAATTCCTCATAGTCTGTCACAAGAATAAAAAGCTTGCCAGGCGCTGGTGGCTCACGCCTGTAATCCTAGCTACTCAGAAGGCTGAGATCTGAGGATCGTGGTTCAAAGCCAGCAAGGGCAGAAAAGTCCTGTGAGACTACAATTAACCCACTAAAAAACCAAAGTGTTGGGCTGGGAATGTTAGTGGTAGACTGCTTGCCTAGCATGCATAAAGCCCTGGGTTTGCTTCCTCAGTACATGAACAGAAAAAGTTGGAAGTGGAGCTGGGGCTGAAGTTGTAGAGTGCTAGCCTTGAGCAAAAGAAGCTCAGGGACAGTGCTCAGGCCCTGAATTCAAGTCCCAGGACTGTCAAAAAAAACAAAAAACAAACAAAAAACCAAAAACCCGAAGTGTTGTTGTGGCTCAAACCTGTAATCCTGGCTACTCAAGAACTTGAGATCTGAGGATTGTGGTTTAAAGCCAGCCAAGGTAGACAAATTTGAGACTTACCTACAATTAACCAGCAAACCTAGAAATAAGAGAGGTAGCTCAGGTGGTAGATTGCCAGCCTTAAGCAAACAACCAACACACAAAACTAAGCAAGCAAGAGTGTGAAGCCCTAGGTTCAAGCCCCCAATCCCAACACAGACACACATAAAGCTGATTATTCATGGTCATCCCTCAGAAACCCAGTTGCTGGTATAAATCTAAGGTAAAAGTCTAAACTGTGCTCTGGTACACTTCTGTAAGCCTTTGGCTCTGATAGTTGAATGATACTAACCAGGCAGTCCCTATACATAATGTTAAAAGACAAAAATGAAGACCCACCATCAATTTTGTAACACTACATAAAGGAATTCTTTAACCATTTGATGTTGAAAGCAACAAGAATTACCTCAAACCTAATTTTTCAGACTTAAAAGTCTTTAATGACTATAAATTCAAAAGCAAGCTGCATGTTGTGGAACATACTTGTAACATTGGGAGGTGGGGAGGACCAGGAGCAGGGGCTGAATCAGAAGGACCACAAAAACAGGCCAGCTCTGGCCATCTACTAAGACAGACGGAGACAGACAGGAAGAGAGAGGGAGAACATTACAGACAGAGTAGCTATTATATACCAAATGCAGGATGTCATTTCTGAATAAGAATCACAGAGCCAGCGAGATTACCAATGACTCCCACCTGTAATTCTAGCTTACTCAGGAGGCTGAGATCTGAGGATTGTGGTCAAAGCTAGTCCAGGCAGGAAAAGCTGTGAAACTCTTCTCTCAAGTCAGAAGTAAAGCTGTGGCTCAAGTGGCAGAGTGCTGGCTTGAGCAAAAAAGCTCAGGGATAGTACCTAGGTCCTAAGTTCAAGTCCTAGAACCTACACACACACACACACACACACACACAAAACATAATCACAAAGCGACATCAAAGAAATAGTGAGGGCTCTCCAAATTGTTGGTGTTGAAAAAGATTTGCTTCATTTGCATTTTTACCCTTGATGTAGCCTTTTATTGTGCTACACTCAGTTTGGCTCAGAGAACTTGAAGAAGAAATTATAACCTAGGTGATTAGCTAAACATCATAATCTCCACAGACGAGAGGAGATTTATGTGGATGGCAGAGTATTACAAAATATAAGGAGAAAAAGTCAGACGGAAAATTCCGTCCACACTCACATCCTTCTCCTGGATAGTGCACTCTTTACAATAGTAGGCGTCAGAGACTCCAGGGCCTCCACAGATGACACAGCGGCCCTGGTAAGATCCATAGTTACACTCATCACAAATGCGCACCAGGGTGCAAGGGCGCACATAGGAGTCACAGATCACACACTTGCCATCACCTGTAAGGAAAAGGGAATGGAACCATGTTGATTAGTAGGTACTTCCTGCCCTTCTCCTCCTAAGGGGAAATAGACCAGTCTTCCTTTGACAGTGATTTTGGGGTCCTCCATTACTTTAGCTTAAGACTTACCTATTCACTATTATCTCAAATCCCTTTCATAGGTGCTCGTGGTGTTGTGTGGTGCATCCCTACTTTAGGAGGTGAGCTACACTGGCAATGCTTTCTTCTCCAAATCTAAACATGCAATGTTTAAAATGAGCAAGCTGAAATGGGAAGATGGAGGGAGCCTGTGGTTGCTGCCTGGTGTATTCAGTGTTCACGTCCTTCCAAGTACATGCACTCACAAACTTTTTTTGGTGTGTGTGGTTTCTTTTTTTTTTTTTTTTGGGTCCGGTCGTGGGGCCTGAACTCTGGGCCTGGGCACTGTCCCTCAGCTGTTCAGCTCAAGGCTAGCGCTCTACCACTTGAGCCACAGTGCCACTTCCGGCTTTTTTCTTTTTGCTTATGTGGTGCTGAGGAATCGAACCCAGGGCCTCAGGCATGCAAGGCAAGCACTCTACCACTGAGCCACCTTCCCAGCTCGTGTGTGTGGTTTCTTTGAAAACAACTACTTGCTGGCTCCACAGAAACTGCATGGGAGGAGTAGGGTGTGGGAGGACGCGTTGCACTCACATTTTTCACACAGTCTTCCGATGGCTGCAAGGTCAGAGAAAGTAAAAAAGTACAATTAGCATGGAAGTTTTGACGAAACAGGAAGTACATTCTCGAACGGAGGGGTAGGGAGCGTCTCAACGGCTAATGAGTCCTGCAGGATAGCTATCCGAACCAAGCCCACATCCCCAAACCAACTCCAGGCCCAGGAACTCCGAGATCGTCCCCCCAAACTTGGCCCAGACGCCCCGGCGGCCAGCTTCCAACTTCCGGCCGCGCGGCCGCAAAACAGCGCGCGCTCTTACAATAGCCGAGGCGGCGAGGCGGCCGCCTCCAAGCTAAGATCCAGGGGAGGAGGTGTGTACGCCTAAGCCCCCGACATCCTACTATCAGCCCCACTCGGACAGTCCGGGGCAGGGCACTCTCTCACCAACACCGGCCTGCTTGCGGCAGAAGATCAAATCAGGATGATGTTTAGCCATAACTCCTTCATTAGCCGGCTACCGGAAGCTTCTAGGAACATCCGCTTGACCCTTAACCTTCATTGTCCCTACCTCCAGGTTACGGGGATTGGTCTTTGGAGCTTCCATCAGTTTTCTATCTTCGAGCCAAATCCCGTTCACATTCACGCGAGTTTTCATAGCTGTGAGGCCCTAGGTCCTAGCAGGTTCGTAAAAGTTGTAAGATTCTGCCCCGGATTTGAAAGGCACAGTTTAATTTTTAATTACACGTATTCACTCTCAGTATTTTCTCCTGCAAGTGCTTTTTTTCTGGTGCTGGAGCTTGGACGCCGGGCCCCAGGCAGACTCCTGTAAGCGTTTTATAGACTCTTCTCTTCCGAGGCCAGTTTCTCACACGTGAGCCCCGCCCACTGCGCTCGCAGGGTTCCGGCGCCTTGGAAAAGCCCCGCCTTCACCCTGATGCGTTGCCCTTAAGCCACGCCCCCACAACCGTCTTTAAATGAGCGTTGTAGAACGTCACTTTTACGCGACCTCATCTTTGTCAGTGCACAAAATGGCGCCTTACAGCCTACTGGTGACCCGGTTACAGGTGAGCGAGCTTAGGGCTGTGTGGACTCCCGGGGGCGGGATTGCCTTCTACTGTGCCTGCGGCGGTGGGCGAGGCTAGGCTGGGCAGGTCGGATCTCGAGCCGGTTTCGTGCGTTCTCTCGGGTGGCATCCACCTCCGGTTCTCCCTTGTCCTAGGTCAAAGCGTCCCCGGCCCAGTCAGCTCCTCTGGTCCTTCTCCCGCCCTGCCCGCAGCATAGGTCTTAGCAGCGGCGGGCTGGTGAAGAGTGGGGGCACTGCTTCTTCCATGTCGAAGACCACATTTCCCTCTGCCTAGGGTGTCTCGGTTCCTCAAGGTGAGGACAAGGTGACTGGGGGCGCAGCGGCTGTGGAGCCCTCGGGGCCCAGTGCCTGATTCCCGCACTTCCCTCCTCAGTAGCAGAGATGAGCTAGACTTGTGATCTACAGTTGCTAGGCCTGGAGTCTACAGAAGCTCGTTCTGTCATGCCACCTTTTGAGGACGCTGCGGCACAGAGTGCCAAGAATGGGAAAATGTTCTCCCTGGTCCCAACGTAATAAAGTTATGATAACTGTAATTTCTCACCATTGAATCAAAATTCAAGGTTGTTTTAATACTTCTAATGGCATTTGGCTTACATATTCATCTGGTGAGATGGATGTCAGATGATCTATCCCATTTGATAGTAACAAAACTTAAAGAAAGTAGATGAACGTTCTGGCTGTCAGAACTCAGAGTTGTAACCTGAGCAATGACTGTACATCCCACCTATTTTTGTTCTTATCAGTCTACTGTGACAGAACGTGTGGGATGTAGTCATTTAGATTTTTTGTTTGTTTTTTCCCTAGTCCTAGGGACTGAATTCATTGTCTGGGCACTGTTCCTGAGCTTCTTTTGCTTAAGGCTAGTGCTCTACCACTTGAGCCACAACGTCACTTCTGGCTTTTTCTGCTTATGTGATACTGAGAAATCAAACCTGGGGCTTCATGTGTGCTTGGCAAGCACTATACCACTAAGCCACATTCCCAGCCTAAGATGCAGTATTTTTGTTGTTGTTGTTGTTTTTGTTTTTGGGGTCCGGTCGTGGGGCCTGAACTCTGAGCCTGGGCGCTGTCCCTCAGCTCTTCAGCTCACGGCTAGCGCTGTACCACTTGAGCCAAAGCGCCACTTCGGGCTTTTTGCTTTTTGCTTATGTGGTGCTGAGGAATCGAACCCAGGGCCTCAGGCATACAAGGCAAGCGCTCTACCACTGAGCCACCTTCCCAGACCTAGATGCAGTATTTTTGAGCTGACATTCAGTTGCTTTTCAAATACTGGGTGGGAGGATCGGAAGACTCAACAGTTTGACCTTGACTTTCCTGTTAGGAGACATCTAGAAAGTTGACTGTCAGATAGTTTTTTCACTCCTACCTTGTGAAGTGCTATATTTAGAAGTTCAATAGCAAATGTGTATTTGTGAATAAAAACGTAAAAAAGTATCTGTAGATATTTTCTATCAACTATTTAGGGTGAACTTTGTGACTCTTCTTTGGATTGAGTGGCACAACTTTGAATGTAGAATTAAGTTATGGCTGTACTCTCAGGAGGCATTGAAGTTTTTTTTCCCCATCACATTGCTTTTTTAAAATTTTAAATTATTTATCTGAAAATACTTATTTGAATTCTGGACAAAAAGAAAGAATTTGTGCCTAATTATCTCTTCAGGTCCTTTAAGTCTACAGATTAGTAGTGTGCAAATAGTTGTTTTTCTTTTTTTCTCTGTCTGTCTGTCTGTCTGTCTCTCTTTTTTTGGGTGTGCTGGTCTTGGAGCTTGAACTCAGGACCTTAACACTTTCTCTTAAGCTTGCTTGTTTGCTTCCTTTCTTTTTTCTTTTTCTTTTTGTCAGTTGTAGGGCTTGAACTCACAGTCTGGGTGCTGCCTCTGAGCTCTTTTGCTCAAGCCTAGCACCCTACCTCTTTGAACCACAGCTCCATTTCCGGCTTTTTCTGTTTATGGGGTAATGAGGAATTGAACCCAGGCTTCATGTATGCTAGGCAAGCACTCTACCACTAAGCCACATTCTCATTCCCTAGAGAATGATCTTTATTATACAGTTGTTTATTGAGGACCTGGATTACTTATAATGTGATGAGTAAGTAGAATATTAATGTATTTACAGCTACGTAGTCCAACTCCCCAGCCCCCCCCCCCCCCTTTTTTTTAAATACAGAATTTAAGACCTTGAAAGACTGAGTGACTACCAGTAGCAGAATCAGTATTAAAAGCCAGGTCTCCTTGCTCAACTGAGGTGAATGAAAAGAACTAAACAATTAACATTACACCACTGTACTTCCCCTCCCCCAGTAGCCAGCCTGTTTCAAGTTGACCAGCTAACCCTCTCTTCTCAGAACTTCTTATGTCTTACCTCTTTTGTGCTTAGATATTTGAGGAGAGACAGTTGCTGCCTTAGTTGTCATATATCCTGAGTCCTGTTGACATAGTGGATTTATTCCCTTTTGCCCACATAATTTCTTGAGCACCCACTGCTTGCTTTAAAAAAACAAGTCTTTAAAAATTTTTTTGGAGGGGCTGGGAAGGTGGCTCAGTGGTAGAGTGCTTGCCTTGCCTGCATGAGGTCCTGGATTTGATTCCTCAGCACCACATAAGCAGAAAAAGCCGGAAGTGGTGCTGTGGCTCAAGTGGTAGAGTGCTAGCCTTGAGCTGAAGAGCTGAGGGCCAGCGCCCAGGCCCAGCGTTCAGGCCCCATGACCTACCAAAAAAAAAAAAAAAAAAATTCGGGGAGGGGGACTGGGAATGTGGCTCAGTGGTAGAGTGCTTGCCTAGCATGTATGAGGCCTTGGGTTCAGTTCCTCAGTACCACATAAAATAATGATAATAATAAAATTTTAAAATAAATATATATATTTTTTTGGTTGGTTATGGGGCTTGAATTCTGGGCCTGGGTGCTGTCCCTCAATCCTCAGCTCAAGGCTAATGCTCTACCACTTGAGCCATAGTGCCACTTTTAGTTTTCTGGTGGTTTATTGGAGGTAGGAATCTCATGGACTTTTCTGCACTGGCTGGCTTTGAGCCATGATCCTCAGATCTCAGTCTCCTGAGTAGCTAGCATTAAAGATGTGAGCCACCGGCACCTGGCTTTAAAATCTTAAAAAAAAAATAAATTTTTTTTTTTTTGATAATACTGTGGGTTAACCTCAGGGCCTTAACAAGTGCCCTGTGCTTGAACAGTTCCTTCAGCCTATTTTACTTTAGGATATTTTTCAGATAAGGTCTCATTTTTTGCCTGAGTTGGGCTTGTACTTGAAGTCTCTTAACTATATCTCCCAAGCAGCCAGGATATATATATATATATATATTTTTTTTTTTAATGCTCTTGGCTGATATGAGATAAAGGTAGATGATAGAGTGATGACTCATTACTGTCATGAAGAGTTGCAAGCATCAAACATATATCTTACTGTGTACTGGTAATAGCTCATGACTCTCCAGGCTATAGTAGACCTATCTGAGCTTTTTGTATAATTGAAGAAACAGGATTAGAGGAAACATAGTGTGGACTCTAGCATTAGACCATCTGGGTTTGAGTCCTGGCTCTAAGTTTTAAGAAGCTATGGCCTTGAGCAGACTCTCTAGTACTATATACTAACGTGTAAGATACTATAATAATAGTACATCTTTAAAAGTTATGTAGTAGTTTTAAAGTATTTAGAATTGTACCTGGAACTAGTAAGTGTTAAATTCTCATTTAAAGAAAATATTAGTCAGGTGTCTATTGCTCTTTCCCCTAGCTACTCAGGAGTCTGAGATCTGAGGGTTGCAGTTTGAAGTCAGCTTGGCAGAAAAATCTGTGAGACTCTTATTTCCAATTAACCACCAAAAAGAGCTGGAAGTGGGGCTGTGATTCAAGTGATAGAGCGCTGGCCTTGAGCATATAGCTTGGGGACAGCTCCCAAGCCTGAGTTCAAGCCCTCTGCCTGCCCTTACTCCAGAAAATTCTTCTTCATAGGACTTACTACTAGTTGTTTGCAGATGTGATTCAGATCTGCACATTATTGATTCCAGAGCCTGAAGCTAGCTATTGGCACTGTACGGCTTCCCAGTAGCATCAAGACTCAGAGTTGGGCCAAGGAATTCTTTATGCTCCATAACTTGTAAATGGTGCTAAGCTCAACATGTACTTTTTTTTTTTTTTTTGCCAGTCCTGGGGCTTGAACTCAGGGCCTAGGCACTGTCTCTGAGCTTACTTTGCTCAAAGCTAGCGCTCTACCACTTGAGCAATAATGCCACTGTTTAGAGTGGCACTGATGAATTGAACCCAGGGCTTCATGCATGCTAGGAAAGCACTCTACCACTGAGCCACCTTCCCAGCTTATCAGGAGGCTTTTTAGTCTATATGAGTTGTAATAGGAGAGTGAGATTGTACCTTTTTTTTTTTTTTGTCGGCCATGGGGCTTGAACTCTGGGTCTGGGCGCTGTCCCTCAGCTCTTCAGCTCAAGGCAAGCGCTCTACCACTTGAGCTACAGTGCCACTTCCAGTTTTCTGGTGGTTTATTGGAGATAGGAGTCTCACGGTCTCTCCTGCCCGGGCTGGCTTTGAACCGCGATCCTCAGATCTCAGCCTCCTGAGTAGCTAGGATTACAGGCGTGAGCCACCAGCGCCCGGCTGAGATTGTACCTTTTATCATATGTACACGAAGTACACACTTTCCCTCATCCCACCTTTCCCTTCCCAACCATCAAGGCCCTAATGCTCTTCTTCTGTGTCTTGCTTGGGCCTGTCCCTTTGTGCTGTGCTTTTGTGTTGTTCCTGTCATTTAAAAGTATGACTGCAGGGCTGGGAAGGTGGCTCAGTGGTAGAGCGCTTGCCTTGCATGCCTGAGGCCCTGGGTTTGATTCCTCAGCACCACATAAGCAGAAAGAAAAAAAGCCGGAAGTGGCACTGTGGCTCAAGTGGTAGAGTGCTAGCCTTGCGCTGAAGAGCTGAGAGACAGAGCCCAGGCCGAGTTCAGGCCCCTCAACCGGA